CATGTTCTTTTGGGCTTAGTTTTGCGCATTATAGGCAAGAAACCCTCTCAAGGCATTATAAGGCATTGCACTAAGCAAAAAAAATGTAGAATGCCAGTGAAAGCATCAATCCTAACAATGAAGGGGGATCATAATCATACAAACAAAAACACATACATATTTGCTTAATTACACAAACATACATATACGTATACATATACCTATATATATATATGCATATATGTTTACATATATACATACATACATATACATACATATACATACATATACACCTACTGAACCTTATACCCACATTTTTTGGGGTGAAAAACAAAAACCTATCTATTTCTTGTCAACGACAAAAAAAGATATCTATCTCCAAAAAAAACCTATCTATTTTTCATATTTCCTAAATTATCAATGTTTATGGGCATTAATGTGGGCAAAGGTTCAGTCGGTTTCAAATCCAGTGCAGGGGAAGATGGGGTTGAACCAGGGAGCAATGGCTCAAAGTCAGGGCCCGGTTGGTTGAGGTGATCAATACCATTGCAGGTGGCCCTGATAATGATGGGCCTAAAAGTGATGATGGCCCCAAAATGCACCACAATGCAGAATTCAGAAGGGTCCAACTGGAATGTATGGGTCACCAAAAGAGACTCGCATAGTTTCATTGGTGTCGAACTTTCTGATGTTCATTTCGGTCGCCCCGTTGTCCCATGTGATGATCGACCGGAAGCTCTACCCTGAGAAGCCGCCAGCCGGGGCCCCATTTTCCATCGATGGTGGATCGGATGTCAGGTCCTGGGCGGCTGGATCCAACCCTGGTCTCATGTTAAGTTGAATGGAATTGTCACCAAAACCCTGGTGTTGATTGGTGGTGTGCCAATTTCTTGGTTGTGTTATCCACAGCCACCTGCTTGTGATGGAGGGTGATTTTGTTGCTCAAGCAAGTGTTTTGGAACCCTGGCTTGTTGGCAATGGAGTGTCTTGGGCTTGCCTTGGAGTGGGAGAATAGCGTGGGGCTCCGCACACGCATGCGGGAAGAGAAAAAACTCCTCATTTACCCTGACACGGAACAGTACTGTGCACCCAACCGGGTGAATGCAGTGACCAATGGTTTGGTGCTGATTCCGGTTCTCACGCGCCTTGGCAAAACTGCAAACCATCGTCTACCACACTTGGATGATTTGGTTGAAGAAGTTGGCCGTCTTTTCCAGAAATGTGGACTTTCTTTGGGGGACAAAGCCAGCTACAAGTGCAGTGTGGAGATTAAAAAGTTGGCTGGCTTTGTCAAACGCCGCAGTGCTAGGAAGGAGGTCACGAAGGAAAGGGTATTTGCCAAATGTCAACCTGTTTTAATTGGAAGTGTATAAACATGTTTTGAAATATACCTTGATTGGTGAAACTTTGGTTGTTAAGTTGTTGTTGAACTAGAAGCTAGAGGTTGGTAAGAGTTTGTGAATAGTAGTCCAGTGTGTGCCCTTGCTGCCCCCAGCTAGGACACCAATTTCCATGAGCTGATCCTGGCTTTTGATCCTACTATGAAGGACTGGCAGAATCAAGTCCGAAAACCAACGGCAATTCAAATTGAAATGGTTACTTGGTCAGTGGTGCCATGGCATGTGTGGCATTGGGGTCCCGTGGATGGCCATAGGGCACCAAGCTGTTATTGTAATTCCTGCAACCCAGTGGTACTGTCCATTTAGGGCAAAGTCCAGTCTTGCAGGAGACCATTGATGCCTACTTGGCTTCATGCCGCCGTTCAAAATCTTGGAGTGATGAGGATGCTGATGACACCTATGAGGAAGAAGATGCGCAGACCCAAAAGGAGTTTGAGGACTTGAAGAAATGGTTGGATGCAAGCATCCCTTCCGCTGAAGCTCCTCCGGTGGTCACTGCACCAGCATGTGACAAGTGCAAAACTACACCTTGTAGCTGAGCCTCATCTCAACTCACTCCCCCAAAAAGGTTGTATATCAAAAGTTAAATTCTATTTGATTGACCTTTTGTTTTGGGGATGGTGCATGTTTTCCCAACCTAAATTAAACAAAATAAAACTTTCGTGAAATGATGGCATCCACTCCTCTCGATGGCTTCATCCCAGGCCCACCCAGCGGTGGTGTTGTTGACAAGTTGCAAGCAGCGCGGCAGCTGATCCTCAAGAGGATGGCAGAGCTCAAGAGCCAGATCCTTGTCCTTAGATCGAAACTGCTTGCCAACCTGGTGGGTGGGGTTGGGATGTAGGCCTATCAAACGTTTATGCACCCTCCCCCCAAATAAGCACAACACTGTTTGAAGGGCCTTGGAGGGCTGTATGAAGTAGTTTGTCCTGCTCACCCATCACTTCAATCATTCTACTTAGGAGCGCAGAGCCCACACCCAAGCACCAGGGCTTCTTGGAGCAGCCAACAGGTGTGGAGATGAAACAAATCATATTGGTTGGATGCTTGTGGAACCTGCTGCCCGGAAGTGTTTCAACCGCAAATTATTGTTAGTGAAAACCATGATTTTGAACATGGTGATTGCGATGACACTGGGTAAGCAGCTCTGTGCATATGTGTGTGCACCAACAGTGGAGTCTTCTTCGCCCTGCAGGCCACAAAACAATTCCCCAAGTGCGAGATAATGATGACACCCAGCAATTGGAGGCTCCAATACCCTTCGATTTGGCAATGCCAGTGGATCCGGGGGAGGTTGAGGAGGAGGAGATTCCTGCGACCCAACTTGTTCCAGAAGACCCCAAGGCATGGGGTTGAAAATCTTCAGGCCCACACTGTAAGTAAAGCATTTTAGTTATCAAAAACAAACATTAATTAATATTGAATAGGCTTTGTTGCTAAAGTATAGGTTGCTTCGTCAACTCAGTCTCTCCATCTCGTTCCTCTCCAACACCAGCTGATAGGATATGTTCTGTATATAGCTGGATTTGGTTGAGAGGACACTCTAGGGTTGCCATTGCTGCATATGGCAGGTGCTGACTCGCCGTGACCAACTCAAGTTGAAAGAGGCAAAGGAACAGGCAAAGAAGGCTCAGGCTGAGGCAAAGAAGAAGGGCGAGGGGAATGATAATGAGAAGGCGTTGACAAAGGAACAGGCCAAAGCAAAGAAGGAAGAGGAGAAGGCAAAGAAGAAGGCAGAGAAGGTGGCAGAGAAGGAGGCAGAGAAGAAACGGAAGGCTCAAGAAAAAGCCGAAGCCAAGGCAAAGGCCAAGGCAAATAAAACCAAGGCCAAGGTTGAAGATGGTGAGGCTACTGGTGGAAAGCCAGAAGAGAGGGAGGAGGAGGAGCCTGAGAAACCTCGGCGGAGGTTGAGGAGGGCACTAGGGGAGGAGGAGGCCGAGGATGAGCCAGACCCAAAAGTATCGAAGACAAGGGCCACTGCCAAGGCCAAAGCGAAAGCAGAGCCAAAGCCCAAGGGGGCCCCCAAGGGAAAGGCAAAAGCTAAGGCGGTGGCCTCTCCAAAGAGAGCTCACAAGGGTGATGATGATGATGATGAAATTGATACGCCCAGGAGGGAATTGTTCAAGTCTGATGATGAGAAGGAAGATGAAGGAGATGCTACCCCACATATGCGGTACAATTCCAAGACTGGCAAGGTCGAGCCCCTCAAAGAGATCCTGGAGAAGTGCAAGCCTCAGGCACACATGGCTGCCAAAAGGCAGCAGGTCAAGCCAGCTGTCGCTGCACCTGCCTCAGGTGAGCCAGGTGATGAGGAGGATGGCAAGAAGACAAAGGGCCAGCGGAAGGGAAAGGGCAAAATGAACCTGTCACCATTTGCGAAGAAGGAAGTGAAGCGTAGAAAGAAGCTTGAGGAGGGGATCATGAAAGAGGCAGCCCGTGAGGACCCTCAGATCCAAGGAATCCTCATGCAGCACATGAAGAATGTGGAGCGAATGACTGCGGAGGAGGATGTGAAGGAGTACCTCATCTCCAATCTCAAGGACTTTGACTTGAACAAGGAGTTCAGGCTGAATGAGTATTGGAAGCGGCCTGCTGTTGGTGTGAAGGTCATATCACTTGGGGATGGCTCTGTGAGCAAGGCCCCAGAGGTTGCCTACTTTGGGAAGGTAGGCACTTGTTGTGGAGGGTGGAATGTGCAAGTGGCCTTGGTCTATGCAGCTGCTTCAATGATGGTTTCTGGGCTGAGTTGGGGTATTGGGTGGGGTGGCATTTATGTGTGCAATTGCAACCTTCCTCTATGCTACACCCGCTGTTTAAAAACCAGGCTCCCATTTTGTCCAGTGAAGTTGGCCAAAAGACTGCCTAACATGTTGGTGCTAGATATTGCCAATATTACAGGCATGAGCCTTCCATCTTGGACTCTGCACCCTAAGTTCTTTCCCTATATGCGTTTCCATGTCTCTTCATCCCAGGCTTCGTGGTTGGCGGACTTGCCCAACGGTGATTTGCAGGATTTTGGGAGCCCGACAGGCAAGGTTCAAACGCATCTCTTCTACATGCGGTACAATGCCAATGTCGCAGGATCCAAATTTAAACCTAAATCTCTCAAGAAATGATGGGAGATTTGGCTGTGAGCATTTGAACATGCACTTCGCCATTGCAAACATCAGCTACCTATATTATTTAAGAAAGAATTGAATTCAGGTGGTGGGGGTTACTTGCTTTTGCCACCTGTTCGTATGGTTCCAGTGTGATGTGTGCAAAAACTAGTTCCGAAAGATCCCAATTGACCAATCCGGCGTTGTGCAGAGCAGCTTCAGTGTACGCAGCGATGTCCATGTCCAGCCAAGATGGCTGCCAGTGATTTTGCCTTAGCTTGGGATGCGGGTGGTACAGATTAGTGGTGTGTGATGAGACTATTTTGACCGTATAGCAATGGCATGTTGCAGAATGAATAGATATCACTGTTCAGGCATACCATTTCCACCAAATCTGTTTCTCTATAGGATATTGAATTGTGTCATTGATGCAGTTCTTTCTACTTATCCACTTGTCTGTACGGGGTAGGTGGACCCACTGCCAATCTAGTGTGGGAGCCAATCCCAAAATGGCGATTCTGGCAATGGGACCAGTGGGGAAAACCTCATGCTTCTTGATCTGGAAGGATTGAAAAAGGCAAGTGCACGCCAGCTGAACGAAAGGGAGTGACCGATCACCCTCATGTCCATGTGGATCTTCGGACAAGATCTGTTTAAATTACCCAGGTCTTATTCATCCCATTCACCTCCAACCCTCGTGTTTTCACTTTTGTCCTGTGTATAGACATCTGAGATGCTGCTGCGCTTTCTGAGGTTGGACCTTGAGATGCCTCAGCTTCGAGGCAACAAGTGGGCGGTCAAGCTGGGTCTTTTACAAGATGAAGGATGCCCACCCTGCTTGTTTATGGTTTGCTGGGGCAGTTGGACACAATACTTTGGAATCTTGTTGGTGCTCAACCCGGAAAGATTGGAAACTACTTGAAAGCTATCCCTCTTGATTGTGTTGGTTGAGCTGATCTCGTTTTTGATCTTGAATGACAAAGATGGACATAGTTGATGTTCTTTGTTGAAAGAAACACTTTGCGCTTCACTTCATGAATGCGGCCAGTTCCATGCAAACACCTTTACATGCTGGAAGCTGTTTTGGATGACTGTAGGCATTCAAGAACTGGTGCTCCTATTTAATGCAACTGCAAGGCTGACCAGTGAGTGCGAAGCAGTCCCCAAATGAGTCATAGGTTTGTTTGCAACAATCTTGACAAACAAACTCCTGCCTACAGCCCTTTCTCGACATGGCGTGGACTTCAAATTTCGTGGATCAGCTGTGCTGGCGTCTGAAGGCTCTGGGTGCTCCGAAGGTGCAATTCTCTCATCATGGGTGGACTGTGAAAACTTGTTTTTGTGGCTACACATTCCTCTGGACATGTCATTGCACTTTTTTGCAGGTGCTCTTGTTTGCAGTGCTCTTGGTGGTATGGACCGAACTCCCATCAAAGAGCTGGGAGGACAGTTGTTTGTTCAACTGCACTTCTATGTCCTAGGTTCCGCTGATCACTTGTGATTCCAAGTAACAGTATAGTCACCATAACAAACCTGCTGGTTTTCTTACAGGACACCTCAGCTACATTCAGGTTCGTGGAGATGTTTGCTGGGGAAGCCCAAGTCACCCGCATGTTTCGCTATGCAGATTTACCTTCAGCTCGGTTGGATCTGATCTACATGGATGCTAAAGACAAACAGCAAAACCCTATGGATTTGCTCACTGATGCTGGTATGGTGACCCTGGGTATGGTTTAAGAGATGGAATGCATGTTTGAATTGACCCTTCCATGACCCTCTCAACCATGAAGTGCACAAAGTAACCACCCCTTGTCCAGCTCCAGCCGGTGGCCAAGGACGGCATTGGCGACTGTGCTTAGAGGCAATTCGCTGGAGGGGTGGCTGGCACATTTTGGATTAAAATGTTCCTCATGGACCCCTGTGAACTCTGGTACCAGCTCAAGATCTCCATGTTGCTCTATTGGGAATTTGGAATTTGCTTCAGTGCGAAATGGAAATTGTTTGGCCAGCCGGATCTTTGAACGCATTGCAACCACATGAAACCAATCTTCCAACCAGTGGAGCTTATACAGCTGGTTTGTTAATGTATGTGTGTTCATAGTTCATGCAGCAATAGAATACAAACAAACAACTCTGGAGCCAAGGACAATATTGTTGATGATGGTTGCAGTATGCCTCAATGCTTGCATCTCTTCGGAGCAGCCATACCTGAGCTTCTTTGAATACTATCCTCGTTTCAGGGACTTCATTGGTCAGCTTCAGAAACATGGGGGCCAACACGCTGTTCCTTGACCAACACCCAGCCTCCACCGTGTTTTTGCCCAGGTGCACTTGTGTGCATGGCCCTGGTCGTGTCCATGCGCACCAGAGGTTTCCCAGCTTTCCTCAGCCAAGTGCTGGTTGTAGGGGAATATGGTGACACGACTTACTGGAACCCTTCCAGGGGCACGGATTAATAGTTGTATTGTTTTGCTCCCCGGGTCTATTCTGTCAGGGTCATTGCCTGTATTTGGTACTGTGGGGATTCACATGCAACCCTCCAGTGTTGGTGAGGGTGGAACTCACATGAAGCCAAACCACTGCTGTGCGGTGAACTTTTGCCTAGCCAAAACTGCTGCCCAGGTACACAAAGCTTCGTGGTATCAATATCACTATGGCGCAGAGACCCCGAAGAGGTTGTATGCCTTTTCCAACTCGAGGCATGTCTCCAGCTTAAATCAAGGACAGCTGCTGGGATGGGCCGCAAAGAAAAAGGTGCTGAAAGACAAGGGCAAATCCCAAGACTTGGTCGTTCACTATGATGATTCACAGGGCAAGCGGAGATGGAAGGGAACCAAGGCTCTACGCGCGAGTGAGTCAGGGTCTTAATCTTTCTGAACACCTGTTCTCTTGAAAGCTGGGTGTCGTTTGGAACTGGTCTGGGTAGTGAGACCCCTGTGCACATTGGCCCCAATCATTCAATTCCATTTTGATGTCACCTGGGTGTCTTTTGTTCTGGAACCTCCAAGACGGATCGACTGTGGGTACAAACAAATGGACTGGAAACACGTGTGTCCTCAAATCACCCAAATTCTGTAAATGCTCAAGGTTCTGGTCGTTGCTCAGGTGCTACCCTGCCAAATTTGGCCTCAAACTAGTGGAGCTGTTCCACTCCATGATCGCAGACAAGCGTGGGATGCCTGAGTTGCCTGCCGTGGTTCCCTCAGCAGAGGAAACCTTTGCTAGCTTAGAGTTTGATGACGTCTGGTCGGAAGCCCACATGGTAAACGTGTGCCATTACCTCCGGGCAGGCGTCCACCTGAAAATCCCACCAAGCTTCAGGGGCCTGCTTCCTACGAAGCTTTGAAAGGGCCTCGGAGAGAAAGCATGGCTTGGGCCAGCTGGGGTCTGTTGCTGTTCGGTTCTGAGACTCAACATGATAGTTCCCTTCCACCCTTTTTGGCGTCTATGTTGAGACTTAAAGGCTTTATACAGTGTATGTTAGTTTTCTACCCGTATTTTGCCGTAATCCGTAATCGGCGTAATTACCTTTGGTGAAACCTTGCTTCGTAGACAAAAAAACCTAGGTATTTGTCCATAACGCAACCAAAAAACATATCTATTTTGTTGGTGTTGCCGTGGTGGATCGTAATCCATCGTAACCAACCTGTACCCAAGCCCTGAAAAAAACATATCTATTTTAGCCGTAACCTGGGGACCCGTAATCGATCCGTAATTTACCCAAAATTTTCCGTAATATACCCATATTTTTTTTTGGGTATTTTTGCCAAATAGATATCTATTTTTGGTGCCCAAATCATATAAGTTAAGATAGGTTTATCTTCGGATTTGTTGGGTTTTTGGTGACTCGGTCATAGATCTTTCAGGGCCGAACTTTTGGCAACAGCAGTATGGGCCTGACCACTGGCCAATTCAGTGCAATTCGAGATAAGACTTTACTGGTGCACACCGTCTTGGACAAATTACATGTCGATCGATTGGTGTGGAGAAAACATTCTCTGTCAGCTACTCGTAGGTGGAGCTGGCTGTGCCTCACAATCTTCTTTGTTTTTTTTGCACCTGCAACATCATATGATTGCTGTGTGTCTGGCAGGGCTTTTGGCTGTGTGAGTGATCTCGCGCAAAGTTGGGTGACCGTTAGTTTATGGCATTTGTCCGGAGGGAGACATCCAAGACCATGGCTTCCCGAACCAACTCCACGGCAGACATTGGACGTGGTCTTTCCCACATCCTTGATGATTTGCACAACAACATGCCTGATTCTTTGGAGAAACTTCAGGAGTTCCGAAGCCAACAGCATATATACTGTCTAACTAAGGAGTCACCGTGGGTGCACATGTGGACTTTAGCCACAAACTGCATCTGTTGGGAGAATGTCATGGTTCCAGTGCTTTGCAGGAGCTTGAACAAGAACTGGCGGACATGGAGGCTCAAGCCAGCGCAGCTCGGTGCCCAATCTTGTGTCAATATAGGGTTGCCAACGTAGGGAGTTCAATGCCCATTCAATGCCCTTATAGCTGCAAGTACCCTGTTTACTTTTGAGATCTTTTGAGTATATGAAATTGGTGCTATCATCCCTTTTCTGTCCAACCCTTGGGTGGCCCACACTTTGGGGTCCAAGCCACATTATGGATTTGGCTCTGGCTGAGGCTGAGGCCTTGGAAGCGCTGAAAAGTCTTCAGTCGCAGGCTCCTAGACTGAATGACTTGCTGTGTTGAGATATTGGGTGGCCCTGAAAGGAAATTGTAAGATTTATGGTGTATCCATCCATCTGTCTATCCTTCATGCTTCTCGGTTTGGGGGTGTGATGCAGAAAGTGTGAAGATTCCTGTCGTATTGGTGATGTCTGAGGCTTCTCCGCAGCATAATGCTGCAGAGCCAGAGGAGACACTACCTGCTTCGGAGTCTCAGGTGGCAGCTTCTTTGGGTGGAACCCCTTTGGAGAAACCTTCTTCGGAGGGTGGAGGGTCTCCAAGCCCACTATCCCCTGCACCCTCTGCATCTGCAATCTCTACAAAGGATGAGGCTCCTTTGGTTCATTTTGTCCATTGTTCCGTCCAGTTTTCTTTGAGATGTGTGATTGCACAAAACATATACATCAATTGGCAATGACTTGTCCCCCATTGATTTGGTACACAAAGTGATATTGTGACATGTGGGACAGGGCTGCAAACAGAATAGGACTGATGTCAGTTGTTCATGTTTTGTTTCAACTGCGCATGTCAAAAAGTGATCAACTTCTACCCATGCCCGCTCGCCCAGGCATCCCTGCGCAT